GACATAGGTTGTTTAACACATTCAACACGATTCAATTTTATTAGAGGGTAGCTCTACAGATTCATTTGTGTGTGCATTCGTCTTTCGGCAAATGCACTCCTTGGTCTTTTTATTCTGTGTTGGCATGCCGTTTTCTCTTTTCTGTTTGTAACATCACATAGAGCGAAGTGACCATTCTGGAATTTCGTGAAAGTCTTGTGAGATCTTTACTGCTTGGCATGACATTGGAGAAACTAAAATCTAGTCGGAGACAAAAATCAACAACCCATTCGAAGCGCAAACTCGCTGATCGTAAGCTCGAAGAAAAGGAAGGATCTACGCGCAATGTCGGCAGACGCTATACTGGCTGGTATGCGAAGGGAAAGGCACAACAGTCAAGAGAAGCGAGCTATGCGGCAGCAAAGAAAGTAAAAACCTTCTGTTAGGATTGTGATAAATTTTTTTTTGTCTTGATTGTTTTAACAAGAAACATCATGCTATGAGATAAAGTACTCAAAAAAACTGCTGAAGGTAGAACAGATCACATATTATGTTTAACCTCTTGCCTAAGAAAAAAACAAAAGAAAATGTTTTTCTATACAGTTTCTTGTTAAAATATAGCGTGGCCCACCGGTGAGCCACATCGTGGCGAATGTGTTAAACAACTGTAGAAAAAAAGAAAGTGAATTGATTTTTTTTTCGATTGTCTAGCTCTTTATAGCTATATAAAATGTAATAAAATGAATTAATTTTTAGATAAAATAATCAAGTTTGGTATAAATGAGGCGATGAGGAATAATTTTGTTTGTCGTAATAAAAAAAAAATTTGAAGTTAAATAATCGTCATTGTCATCTGGCAAGCTGATAGAAAATATTTTTATTTTAAAAAAAAATGTTTCTAATTCTCGAACTGATTTTCTATTAAATTTGTGTTGATATTGTCTAGTCTATTGTTTATCTTTTGGTGATTTATTTGTTGTTCTTTTTTTGTCTATTTGCTAGGTTTTTTGATTAAATCTTCCATATAAAATTGTATGTTTTTTGTTTTTGTCTTATCGAAATGACACGAAGTCATTTGGAAAAAGATAATAACAAAATGAGGTTTTTTGACAATGATGGATATCAACAAAGAGCAGCTTGTATTTGTGTTAGAAATCAATATGAAGAAGAAGAAAAAGATTTTATTTTAAAAAAATAATTTAATTTTTTTTTTTTAAAGGTATTATTAATAACATCTCATCGTGATAAATCGTTATGGATATTTCTAGGTGGTAGAATTGAACCAAATGAAAGTACAATTGATGCAGCATATAGAGAATTATATGAAGAAGCAGGTGTTAAAGAACGTATTCTTCGAGAATTAGGTGTTTTTGAAAATCGTGAAAGAAAACATGGAAGAACT